GTTTTCAACACGTGGAAGGGAGACAGAGTTTGACGGAGAAGGAGAGTTGATAGGAGATAAGGAGGAAACAGGTGTCAGTGCAGTAGTATTGGGAATGGTGGAAGAGTGGGTTTCTGGGGGTGACGTTAAGGAAGATGGAGAAGTGGGAGTGCTGTTGTATGGCAGGAGAAGAGGGAGACTGTTTGTTTTCCATTATAGAAGAGTTTGGTAGAGATATTTTAGTGAGAGAGAAGGGAAAAGGGGATCACAGAGATACAGAGGAGATGAAGGTTCACGACTGCTGTAAGAGAGAGGGGATTTTATGGGAAAAGGGGCCAATAATGAGAAAGGAGAGAAACGGGTTCTGAAAGGTTTTGAAACGGCGGTAGGTTTGTGGGAATACGTAACGTGCAGAAGAGATCAAAGGATATGAAAGATAAGACGTGAGATGCAGACTCTGAAAAGTCGGATGATGTGGCAGTTGAATTAATTTTGTTAACCCTTTTGAGAAAGCATGCAAAAAACAAACACATTACTGCTAACCCGTGGTACAGGAACCTGTTTCCTGACCAGTTTTTGAAGAAGATTTTTGCAGCTCTCATTCGCAGTTCAACACTATGATCGTCATACATGTTTACCTGCAACGGTATATATGTGAGTTAGGCCTAGTCAGAAAACACTTTAGCCATTTTACCTGAATGAGACTTTCATGATCATGTGAGCAGAATCAGGTTTTCATGTTGGTTTAAATAACCTAAGTGCCATCCTATTTCTCTCAAGGTGTTCCCTGCTCACAGCTTTTGTGAAGGTGACTATGATTTGATCTCTGTGCAGCAAATTCTCATAAAAATGAGTCCTTTTTTCCACATTATTCCTGAGACAATGGTATATGACATTAATGTGTTTGGTTCTCTTGTGCTGGACTGGGTTCTTTGCCATGTTAAGAGCGTCTACTTCAACTGTTGAGAGAACCACTGGGTTGTGATTCCTTGTACCCTATGAGATTAAGCATGATCCAATAGAATGAGCCATTCCAGATGTGCTCTTCTTGACCATCAGATAATCTTGTTTCCTTCAAATTGATGCAGTTCCTCTTGCATTGTTATAATCCAGTAAGCATCCTTCAAGGCTTCCTGTCGTGCCCCCTTTTTCTCGCGAAATCGGGTTTATGACATTTTGGTTGAGACAACTCATTCCTTTTGGGAAAGGGGTTTGCATTTTTGAAGAGTCGCCACCTAACGATTTAAGGTGCGTTAGGGCACCTATAGGGTTCATTTATAACTACGTTTGATAACCAGAGACAGGGTAAGGGCTTGAAATTATCCTAAGGGGAAGGTGTTAGGCACCCCTCAGGATCCACTAGTGTGGTTCCCGGCCAGACAGTTTTGTGTGAATTTGTACAATTAGCAAATAAACAAGTATGGCTCAAATAGTAGGGGATTTATGTTTAAATACACGGACGCTTGAAAAAAAACAAGTTAATTAAAAGAAGTACAATCTAAGCGTATTTGTGAATGTAAAGGAGTGTCCTAGGTTGGTTAGCCTATAGGATCACATCAATACAATGCTCGGTAATCACTCCATAAAAAGGGGCTACACGTGGCATTAGCGCACCGGTCATCATATCCATATCTACCCTTTCCCGCCCCGTAAAGGTAATTAAAGCGAGGGTTGGTCTCGACCCCTATTGCATGCTGTTACCCGTCCATTCCTATCAGTCCCGGAGGAATTTAGGACTCATATCCTATAAAGAGGGGGGGGTTCTAGGCAGACCCTCATGTTTAAAGGGAAAAATACTAGGCGACAAATAAAAAACACATAGGACTGCATTTAGGGGGTAAATCACAGAAATCAGATAGAAGGCTCAGATATACCTCCACAAGTAATGCACATAAGCAACATGACTCATGCGCAATTAAGGTCTAAATTCATATCCTAACAAGGTATTTAAGTGATAACAGTAGGACCAGATTTATTGCATGACTCAGAAAAGAAGTCCGAATCAGGCTTGCCTACTGATTTTAACACGTTGACAGTTAAACACTAATCACAAAGACGGTTCTGGTTTTATTTAAAGTCGTTTGCCTAATGCTTGCCTAGGCGTGGAATACAGATGACTACATGTTATATAGTGAAACAAGGCAGGTTTTTTAAAGCGTACTCTTGAATCCTTATAGGCATGATATCTAATGACAAATCAAGGCAGTTTTTGAAAGAACTTGTTTTAGAGGAAATAAACCATTAATTAAAAACAGTTTCAAAACGAACTAAAACATGGACTGGGTTGATTTTTTTTAACTAAACTAGTTAAGATCTATAGGCAGAATTTCTAGAGTTATTCCCTATAGGCATGACATCTAGTTGTTTAACACTGATTTCAGAAACTTTGCAGGCATGATGACCAATGAAAGAAAACATGTAACACTTGTTATAACAGAAGCTGGATTAAATTATATCCTATAGGTATGGCATTTATTTGTGAAACTGATTTTGAAACCTATTAAACATGATTTCTAACATGGTAAGGCAAGTATAGTAAAATCCTACTAAACATGATTTCTAACATGGTAAGGCAAGTATAGTAAAATCCTCTTCATTACTCGACACGATTTTTCCTCATGCCCTTGGTGTTTGCAGTACGTGCAATAGCTTGGGAGATTGTCATAAACAATTTCTTGATCATGAACGATGGTTTTTCCTGTAATTCTGTCCGTCATAACGATTTTGACTTTTTTGGATGTTTGTCCACAAGATCAAGAATAACCTTAACTCTTGCGGCACTAGGTCGAGTTCTCTCTTGTGTTGCCTTGTCCACAGAAAGGGCTTTACCCACAGCTGAAGCAATCGACATTAAGGCTCTTTTAGCGAAAAAACTTGGCGGCAGACCTGGGAACGAAATCCATACAACTGCCATTGAAGTTTCCTCCTTTGGATTGAATCCTAACGTCCATGGGAATGTTCGAAAGAAGAATTCATCTCCTTTTGCCTTGACATAACCAGTTGATCTTGATATAAACTTAACATAATCAGTGTAAAGATCAAACCTGATCAGTAGATGACGGAATTCAAGCAATCCAATATTGCAGCAACCTTGTATATCGAATTACGACGAAAATATTTTTCTAAACTCCTGTAAATCAGGTTTTCCGTATGAAAACTTCATAACTACTGCTTGATGCAAGCCTTCTTCTCTTGTGAATTCATTAACCTCATCCCAAGAAAATTGGATTGTTGGTTCTCCATGTTCGATAATCACTGGAATTAATTCCAACTTGGATGCAGGTGCAGCAGACTGTTTTGAACGCACCTGGGCAGCATAAGTTTGTTTTGTATTAACGTTTGTTGCTGGTTCTATTACATTATGGATTGTCTCTCCCACAGCCAATGGCTGGGGAGAGCTCGCAGCAGCCATGGCTGCCAAGCTCTCAAAAAACACGCCAAATCCTAGAGAGAGAAAGTAGAGAGAAGGGAGACGCTGAAACTGTCATTCTCTGTAACAGATTTTTTTTTTTTTTTTTTACAATAGAGATCGACCCCTTTGGTATTTTTATCATTGACTAACAAAATCTTTAAAATAACTCAAAAAAACAGAAATTAAGTGAAATCATCCACATGCTTAAACAAACAGAAATTAAGTGAAATCATTCACATGCTTAAACAAATCAGACAGCCACAACAAAAATAGGAAAATAAGGATCCAAGAAGAAAATGAGAGGTGGACCTGGAATGATAAGAACAGAGTTCCGAAATAACATCGTGACAGACTCGCGAATCTGTTCGAAATCTCAGACTAACGCATCTTCAACGAACTCGGAAATCGCCGGAGGAACTCGAATCTCGTCGACAAACTCGACCTCAGCTCAACCTCAATCGAACTCAAAATTGAAACCAAGAATTCGGCATCGTAAAGAGGAAACAGGAGATATTTCCGTTTTGCTTAAGCTCAAACCAGTCAACTTTTAAAAACAGATATTGTTTACATGTATATGTTCTGAAAATTCAGAGAAAACAAATAAAACTTTCAGGTCCTAGACTTCTTATTTGATTTCTGTCCGTTTTGTACCCCTCCTCTTACTGTGCGTGCGTGAATGGTTGTCGGTTTCCGGCCATTTCTGGTGGTGTCGCTGCTTCTTAGGTCTTAAGTAGAAGGGGTCGTTTAGGTTGCTCAGGCTCAGCAAAATCGTTGAATCCTTTTGAAGTCTTGGTCTGGAGAAGATGAAGGTTGGGTTGGTGGGGTCTCCTGTATTGCGGCTGCTGCTCCTTCTTTTTCTTAGGCGTTAGGTTGCTCTTGGGGTCTTAGTATATTTTCAGCTCATTGTAGGCATTAGTATATGTAGAGTCTAGGTTTAGGTTATTATTTTGTGTATTTTGCCAATTAGTCCCTAGGTCTTTTTGTGTTAAGTTCTTAGGGTCTTTTTATTTATTTTTTGTTCCAAACAAGAGTCTAGAAGGGTCCTTAGGCTTAATGGATTAATCTGAATTGGGCCAAGATTGGGCTCTAAAACTCTTAAAGTTGTAATTCAATACCTTAATTGACTCCTTTCAAAATAGGATAAAAATACTACACAATGTCAAAGCTAATCCTAATTAATTAAACTAAACATGAACTATTTTTGTGTTTTCGAAATTATATAAAGATAAAAACAAGGTACTATTTTTGTTTATTTTTTTAAAATTATGAAAAATATGTAAAACTAAAATATTTTTGTAATTTTCCATTTTTATGACGAAAATAAAGTAAAGAAGTCACAAAATAGTTAAAATAGCTATATTAGGCCTAAATTAAATATTTACATGCTAAAAAATACAAAAATCTTGGGGAGAGTCAAAAATCACATGTCTACAAACCTTGTGCTTAGATTGAGAAGATTCTATTGCATTAACAGCATTAGAAGGATTTCCCTGTGATCCGCGTTGTTGTCGATTATTTTGGCTTCCTATGTTGTTGACCCAAGTTCCATTTTTAAACTTGCATCTATCCTCTATATGACCTTTTCTATTACATCATTTGCAATGAAATATCAGAGTGCGACAATTCTCAATTGTGTGGCCTTTTCGATTGCAATGCTCACACTGCTTATCCTTGAATTTGTTGAACTATTGGCACGTCTATGAACTGCAGCTGCGATAGAGAAACTTTCTGTTGATTCTAGTGTCATTTGTCTCTGCGTTTCCTCTTGAATAACAAGTGAATTGGCTTGACGAACATTGGGCAGCGGAGACATCATGAGAATATTTGATCGAACAACGTTATAGACATCATTTAGACCCATAAGAAATTGCATTAAACGATCTTCTTCAATTTGATCATTATGCACTTTCATTTGGTTGCATGCGGGAAGGGCTCGAAACGCATCTAATTCATCCCAAAGGCCTTTGAGTTTTGTAAAAAAGGAAGAAACAATCATGTTACCTTGTGAGAGTGAAGCCAATGATTTTTGAATCTGATATACTACTGGCGCGTTCTTTTGTGAAAACTGATCTTTGAGATCTTGCCATACTTGGTGAGCAGTCTTGGCGTGAATGACTCCTTTAGCTAGATCGGGTTTCACTGAATGTGCAAGCCATAACAAAATTATGTTGTTGCACTGATTTCACAGTGCAAACTCTGTAGGCTTATTTGTTTCTGATGGAGTTTCAATTGATCCATCGATAAAGCCTATTTTCTTTTTGGCTGTGAGAGCATGTATCATGGATTTGCTCCAAGAAGGATAATTGATGCCATTCAATTTGATTGGAACAAGCATGTGGCTGGGATGGTTTGAATGTTGAAGAAAATATGGATTTGATGAATCCATACCGTGACTGTTATTGATGGTGTTTGGGTTTTTGGAATTATCTTGCTCTGATACCATCTTATGAAGTAAAAAGAACAAAGTAGTTGGGTGAAGTGTTTTTCTTTATTCACAGATGATCAAATATATATACACAAGAATACAAATCAATCAAGCCTAACTTTCAGACCAAGAAATCTTGATCCCCAATTAATGGAATTTTCTCTACATCTATGGAAAGTAAATATACAATAATAAATGACAAGATATGTATTCTTCAACAATTCTTTGCCAATTCAGAAAAAGTGATTCATAAAAGTCAGAACATAATTACCTGGCCACCTTCTTGCACCTATGATCATGTTCTATATGAACGTTTGACTTAATTATCCATCATGAAGTATTCTGTGAAAAAGGTCATCGTAATTAAGATTACGATAATAAATTAATTTTGAGTTTCTTAAAAACGTGACATTGTGGTTTTCTTAATGCAGATAAAATGTGATTCTTTTTCACAATTCATTGGCTGACAAGAACTTCTGTATAAGAACGTGACTTTTCATTATAAGTCACTAATAATTAATTTTTGAACTAAAACGGTTAGTTGCAAAATAGGAGGGTCACAACTTTTCTAGAAAGACAAAATAAATTTAAATATTAATATTATTTAAAAATTATTATTAAATAGTACTTATTTAGAATTAAAAATTTAGGTTATTTAGATAGATATTTTAGTAATTCAGCTTTTAACTTTTGGGGTTCCCACTTTTTATAATATATATATATATATATATATATATATATATATATATATATATATATAACGTCATCTAGTCATGGGTCAATGTACATGTATAAATGAATGCAATGCATGAGAAAGTACGTCAATAAAATCTCTCGAAACGTCATAAGACCATTATACCTTTAATTAATATCATGAAATAAACTTTATCAACTTACGTATTTTTCTGAGACCCATGAACAGATGATAGAATAATAGGAAAATTGGAAATCAAGAACATAAGCATCTCTAGCATTTCTTTGAATAGAGTCATTTATAGAAGTTGTGCATTTGCTCGTTTCGTTTGTATCGTATGGATCATGTCAAAAGGAAAGAAGGGATGGCCTTAACATACCTGAACCGGTTCTTTTGACAATCTCTCTAACACCTGCCAATTGTGACAACACGTAATGGCGGATCGAAGTAGGAAAAAATCCGTATGATGTTCTTGAGAAAGATTATACCCTGCTCTCTTAGAATTGCAAATCTCGTTGCTATACAGTATAACTTCATGTGAAATTTTATTGAAGCTTCATCCGTCACTTGGCACACCTAGCATTTTACCTTAATAAGGTAAGAAATCTTTAAAATGTTGTGCTTGAACTCCATCCGTAAGAAGATCTCTTAGAAAGTCTTAGCATACTCTTTTAATAAGGTAAGAGATCAAGTCTTAAAGTTACATGTTGTGGGCCCCACTTTGATGATGACTTGGCCACAAATACTCTCTTAAAATGCCTTGTAATGAGAGTTAAGAGTCATTTAGTTGATGTTGTGTTGCTGCGACGTTGGGGTTCAAAAATCTATCCAAAATGTCTTAATTAATTATCAATTTCTTGATTAACTTGGTAATTTCCCACTAATTCAATAATTAACCAATTACCCACATAATTAAGAACTATCTCAAATTACTTAAAATGCTATTCACTTTTAACACACCTTATATACCTTACTATCATGGCCATGTGACCTTGTATGGCACTATTCCATAAACACCGGGTATTATAGCTCGGATCGTATTTTAATTTATCTGAAAATGACAACTTTCGACGAAACTCATTTTCTTCGATTCGCTTACCCTCTCACCTTCACGAATTTACTCATCACTTGTTTGAAATAGCATAATACTTATAATCCCAAAAATAATCTCATACCCGAACTTACGTCGATTAACTTATGTCGAAACTTTAACGTACGAAAATACGGGGCGTAACATCTCATTTCCGAGCTTCCATCAATTTACTTATGGCGTACTTTCACTTACGAAAATATGGGGTGTAACAGTTGCCAGGTTATTGTTTTGCATTTAGACGTAGTACTAGTTCGTGTCATCTCTTTCACTGTTAGCCTACTGGTTGCCGAAGTTTGCTATTTCACGGAAATACTTTCATTATTGAGTTTATCCTTAAACAGTTAATCAGAATTGAGGTTATCGAAAGTCATTAAATCTATTTTAATTAAAGTTGAGTTAAAAAGGGGGTGTCGTTCCTTGTTGAGTTAGTTTCCCATTCCTTTTGTTCATACTGAGATTTTATACACATTGTGTTTGAGCCATGAGCTATTTGTTGTGAAAATATTGATATTGTTGGATCTTTGAAAAGGTTGTGGCGTATGGACACTTGTGTTACGAGTCGATACGTCGTGTTATTGTGATGTTAGCATTTGTGAATTGTTGTGTAGTTTTTGGTTGTTGTTATGCAGAGTGGTGGAAAGAGAAGGCGTACGCATGATTTTTGGTAAGTGGTATCAAAATTTGAAAAAATGAATTTAATGAATAAATCACTATAATGAAAAACAATGTCATTTTTTTTTATATATTTATATCCGATATTTTTATTTTGTATACCATTTATATATGCATATTTAATAAAAATCCGGACGAAGCGGTGTCACGTGACTCCGCTTGTTGCAAGGTGTCGACCCCCCCCCCCCCCCCCCCCCAAGTATGAGCAAGGTGTATCCGCCCCCCAAGTATGAGAAGCAATTTTGTTCCTCTAAGGATTAAGTGGTAGCAAGATCTTCTAAAATCTACACAGCAAGTGATGCTAGGGTGAATGTTCCGGATTGATCTGTGATCAAGGCAGAGAGTTTTTTATGATTGCTATAATAATTATCTTAAAAGTCAATTCATTGTTTTCTTTCTGAAGTTGATATTCCTTTGTCTTGGAACAGGATTCACATTGCTTATTATAGGTTATTCTTGATCATTTGATTCATACATATGAAGGAAAGCTATTTTTTCTGTTTGCCCTTGATTAGAGTGGTTTCTGCATTGTAAGTTTGTAACTACCAGCACTTTTCTCGGGCTGCAAACTTTGTTAGATGCTTGAAAAATCCAAGCCTTTTTGTTAAACTTGTGCTTGAAAGTCTCTTCGTTTCATTTGTTGTGTTCCTACTTGTTGTAAAATTGTGGATAGATTTTCTACAAGGGATGAAGTGCAGAGTTGTAGCCTGTAGGTAATAATAAACAGCCATTAGTGAAATGCATAAATTACTATAATAATACATGTCATGGCAGGGGGTTCATAGAGTAGCAATGTCATGGCCTGAGGAGTTGAAATGGGCCGAGGACTATGCTAGAGGAAGGAGCTCAAATGCAGCTATATACAAAATGTCACTAGCCGCTTGTGTTAACCAGATTTGGACTGAAAGAAATGCCAAAATATTTCATGCTAAGAAAAGTGAAGCAAGGATAATAGCTAGGAAAGTCATACAGGAAGTCTTTTATACCCTGTCTTTTATCTATGAAGAGTAGGCTAGATAAGAGTCTAGATTAGCTAAATTCTTACCCTTTCTAGTAGCACTCTGGCAGCACAGACGTTGTAGTAGTGATTGGAAGTAACTTTATAGTTGCTGCAGACAGGAGATGTCACTCCGCAGTTTTTTTCTTTTTTTTACTTGTACAGATTGCAGACAAAAACTTTTATTTACCAAAAAAAAAAAAAAAAAGAATACGTCTCGTCACCTCTGCAGCATTATAAAAAATCTCAATCATGTGAAGTTTGTGTTGCATGAAATTTACAATCACTGCACAGAAAACCTGAAGAGTCGGGATGTAGAGACTGCTGGTAAGCATGTTGATTGCAGTATGCCTTGTTACAGAAACTACATTTTGGAAGCTGAAGCCAACAATCCAAGCACAGTATATCTGCACAAGCTGCTTCACCTACTTCTTCTTCATCTTTGGTGCATACACCACACTCTTCACACCTCGGGACACACAGGAAGCAGCCCCTGCACTCTATAAGCTGCTTTCTCCTTATACAAGAATTTCTAGGACAGTCAAAGATTTCTCTTACTTCGCCACATTTCGGACAGATATCTACGTCGATTGAAGGCTGAGATTCTTGTCTAAAAGTGGATGATTTGTTTCGCCTGTGGTACAAGTTCTTTGTTCCTTCTTTCTCTTGCATCTGGTTTATTCCCATTAGATGACCAAGTGTTTCGAAGTCCTCTCTCTTCACATTATAGATGCCAGAAATACTTAAGCTCTTTAACTTGTGGTTACCCTTGGTAAGTAACTTCACCGCTCCAAGTACTCCCTCAATGGTTAAGCCTGTGCACCCTCGTAAGTAGAGCTGGGAAAAAGGTGGAAAAGAACATAGAATTCAGGGCAGATGTAATTTATACTACCTTCTTTCTTACTGCCTCACATTCAATTTATGTGACGTGGATTGACTAGAACCGAGTTTGGGAAAAAAATGAAGACTGGAATGGAGATTTTTTTTCCTTTCGTCGGCCGGGAAAATCTAGAGTTGACATCATTCAAGCATGGATATGGTTCTGACTCATCAAAGAATTTCAAGAAAACTGTGTGCACTTCAAGAATCAAGATTTAAAAAGACGAGTTTTTACAATATAACAGAAATTGCAACTGAAATTCATTATTCAGCACACTTGATTAGTTAACTACTACTCTATTTTTGTTTTTTTTAATTTTTTTTAAAAAACAAGGAGAAAAGGGGAAGATATTAAAAAAGACTCCACCAACCATATCTTATCCATTACCATTTCCTTACAAACAAACTAACATACCTTGCTGATATGAGGATTACTGGCAATGACTTGTAGCAGCCCATCATCCGTTATCTTAAAGCAATTTATGAGAGCAAGAATTTTCAGACGGCTATTTGCCTTGGACGTCATTTTTACCAGAAAATCATCAGAAAGATGAGTATTTAATGGCTTTTCGACAACGATATTCAGCCATGGCAGTATGTCATCTCTTAAAGCATCTCTTAATGACCTGCAAACTTGAGTCATAGACAGAAGTTCAAATAAAGGGAGATAGGCCAACACCAAGAACATAGCTTCATGGGGTGATTCCCCTGATTCTAAAGGATTTTTTATCATTGCTGTGTTGTGTTCTTCCCCCTCTGGTATAGGTTGTGAAATTTGCATGTCCATGGTATGTATGCTAAAAATAAGTGTTGGTTTTGAAGATATTTAATTTCTAGGAATGAAGCTTAAGTGAAAGGGCGATATATGGAGGAAGCAAGTTGTGTGTTGATATTTGCTAGAATGAGAAAAGAGAAATATTTTCACACGTTAACTTGGATATACTTGTCATCATGTACACCAATTGAAACTTGTGGGTCGGCGACATGTCAATACCAATTTAAATGTCCTGCGTCTCATTAGAGATGTAATTGAGGGATATTTGATAAATTTATTTGTTTAAATTGTGTACGTTAAGGGATTTTTCGTTGGATTCTTTATTTATGCATAATTATGTCAAAATTATTACACGGTTAAGGAATTTCTCGATGACAATGACAATTATAGTTGTTGGGTGTGCGAACAAAGTCTCACATTGGTAGCTAAAAAGATTAGGAGTCTACATATAAGGTGTAGAGATCTCTTAATAGTGTGAGGCCATTTAGGGAAATCGTGCGGGCTTGGCCTAAAGCAGACAATATCACATCATGTTAAGATTGTCATTGGGCCGTTTTAGCCCAACAACTGGTATCAGAGCCCAGATTCAGCAGAACGAGTATGGAGATCATGTTAAAAGTGTCATTGCGCCGTTTTAGCCCAACAACTAGTATCAGAGCCCGGGTTTAGCAGTACGAGTATGGAGATGGCGGAGTGATGCTGCAGGGCGATGCACACACAAGAAGAAGCTAGTTGCGGGCTTCGGTTGCCATAATACTCTAACATTGTGCACACACAAGAAGAAGCTAATTGCGGGCTTCGGTTGCCATAATACTCTAACAATGTGGGTGGCACACAGTAAATCTCGAAAATTGACCCGTGAATCGTGGTACCGGACCACGTGGAACTTAGTCCAACATTGGTAGCTGAAAAGATTGGGAGTCTACACATAAGGTGTAGGTATCACTTAATGGTGTGAGGCCTTTTAGGAAAAACCGTGCGGGTTTGGCCCAAAGCGGACAATATCACACCATGTTAAGAGTGTCATTGCGCCGTTTTAGCCCAACAATAGTTAATACAAAAATTTCCGATACAGTTTAATAAGGCCAACTAAACCCTGAATTAAGTTATGTGACGATTTTTTTTTTTTTTCGGTACAAACCAGTCAAACATTGTATCACCTGCGCAGGAATTTTATCGAGGAATTCCTACTGTTGATGTGGTAAACCAAACGACCAAACACTATTCAACTGTTTTATAGCATCTTTCTATGTTATCAGTTCACGTTTATTATGGAGTAACTTACTTTTAAATAGCCTGATAGCGTAAAAGCACTCACTCGCTCGATGTATAAAATTAAACTCATAAATATTAAGGACAAGTTAAGGATTTTGGCGTGGTAAATACTTGTGGTCTTCTGGAAATATGACCCTTGTCCTGGTGCTGCTTCTTACTCCATAGAAATAGGAAATACTCTTTTTAACCGCCTGTGCTAGTCCATATAACTCTTCACACGTTTATAAGGCACTCACCAAACACAATAACAAAGAATGCATTTAACATGCGCATTTCCAGGCGAAACTTCTAAATTGGCGTTTCAGAAATCACAAAGTAGAATTCAAGCACTGTACTGTCAATGATCTAAAGGTTCGACAGCAGTCCTGAATAGAAGAACATAGACCTTATCGATGGAGAAGTACAAGAAACCTCCTATGGAATGTGTGACATACGAACCAAAGCTAGTTCCCACGATACAATGCCAAGCTGGACCATATGATGAGTCAAATTCCTGCAAAGCCAACAACAAGTGAGTTTTGATTAGCATTCAATGCTTAACAAATAATTGGTGTCAACTATCTTACAATGAAAGAAGATTGAAACTTCATTGACAGATAAGAAGAAGCCTCAAACGAACAAATAGGACTGACCATCAATTAAGAATTAAAGATGATTTCAAAAACAAGACTTAGATGCCTCAGGTGCCTTGTACGACCTAATTCAACCCCACAAACTAGCTCATAAAGAGACAACGACTAAGATCATATAAAGAGACAGCGATTCATCAACCAATGTGAGACATTCTAATAGCCCATACACAAAAGTGGGACATTTGGAGCATGATCAATATTAAATAGGAGTTCCAATATTGGGTAAATCAAGAATAAGGATGGGTCTGACTCTGATACAAAGAATGGATCTTGGGTCTAACTTACCCCAAAGCTAGCTCGTGAGGTGAGTATTGTCCAATATCATTTACAGAGATAACAGCTCATTCCTCAACCAATGTGGGACATTGTAACAGAGAGGATGATATTGAAGCCAATGTATTTTAAGTTGAATCATGGATAAAATTATTCCTAATGAACGAAGTTACTAAAAGCAAGCAAATAGCAGAATAAAAGAACCATTTTTCAGGGAATTACTGCATCAGTTATGAGATTATCATCATCACTCTGAATTTATGAAATAATCATTTCATTGCCTCTCCTCCCTTCTGCTGGGAAGATTAAGTTCAGTGACAACAGTTTAGTTACTGATGCTACACTGTCGTATTTCAGTCCTGCAGGTCCATGAAAAACTTGAATTCTTTAATTTGTGAAGCCGTTTAATCGGTGAGGTTTAAAACATCAAGGAGAAATCCTAAATAAGTCATTTTTGGACCTTTTTAAGTTGGACTTAGCTTAAGTTGTAAGATTTTACATGATTCACTCCATTTACTTTGTACAAATGTTACATGAGAGTGTAGAAGTCTGTTTTGACATCTTAGTTCATTAGCCTTCAGGTGTTGCAAATATAATGAATTAATGACGAACAAGAATAGAAAGCATATAAACTGACAATTTCCATGCCATCATAAGCAAAAATTGTGAAGTTGTCTCATAGATGGATAACTTGTATTAAGAACAAGCACAGATCACTAAAGAATAAAATAGGAATATTTCTCTTCACTGAGTGTCATCTACCAGCTCTTGATTGAAGAAACACCCTTCTAAAAGCTTGCTATGCCCAAATAGCCTAATAATACTTTCGCATACAACTATATGTTAATTAAGACCTGTAGAGGGGTTTCGGAACTAGCCTTCACATGATGTTGAGCTTATTATCTGTCATCATTCTTATTTTGTACACCCTCCGTTTCTAGACGGAGGTTAATAAAGAAAGAAAGACATTTGAAACTTGTGGTCTTAAACATGCCATAACTTTGTGTGACGGTAAAAGAAAAAGGATTCCAAAACCTTCACATGATGTTTTAGTTTATAATCCGTCATCAAGTGCTTACTTTTCGTACACCTCCATTTCAAGACGGAGTTTAATAAATAAATGAAAAAAGAAATTTTGAAACTTATGGTCTTAAACATGCCATAACATTAACGGCTTTAAGACTTTTGAAACTTAAAGTCTTAAATATGTCATAACATTCTCATTAAGGCTAAAACGGAAGTTTAAAGTTATGTTTCCAAATATATAAATGTGTCATTCTTCTTCAAATGGACTAACAAGGAAATAATGTCACACAAATTGGAATGGAGAGAGTACTTGGATAAGTCGACAAACTTATGTTCCATTAAGACTACTACCGCAAAGGCGCAAACTTATTCAGGAGAGGTCATTTCACATTAATTTCTCTGGCAAAAATCAAGATTGCTCGTTACAACAAGTTATTAACATTTATTAGTAGATTTGGAACATTTTCGGCTGAAATTGGTGTATATCATGAACTCCCACGTCCAACTGCTAGTGCTTCCTCAGTGTTTCCCAGAAGTAGAGCACTTCTTTAAATCCTTCTTTGATCACCCAAAACATAAAATATTGGATCCTGTAGAACACACGACGAAATATAAACCAGGAGGCTTTTACTATTATGTCTTTGGCATTGGATACGGCTATGTACTATCCCCAAAAAAAATCCTTTGTATTTGGGGATAGTACATAGCCGTATCCAATGCCAATGCCAACGCTAAAATCCGGCCAACGCTATGTCTTTGGCATTGGATACGGCTATGTCTAAAATCCGGCCAACGCTAAGTTTTGCCAAAACTGCAGCTTACGCAAGTTTTTATCAATATACTTTCTGTTTCTTTTTGCTAAGGTGCAAATTGTTTTTAGACTTATATCACACATTTATGGAATATCGGGATGATGAATTTCTAAAAAGAATGAATAAATATGTGGAATATTATATATCATGAAAGCAAGTACAATTAAACATGTTTAAAGCAAAATTTTCCTATTTATTTGGTCAGATATAGTGTTTTGAATTGATTAGCTCATGTGATATTAACCTATTTTATGGCAATGAAACTAAAAAACAACCTTTCAAGAATCATGTTTTCAGATCCCTTCATATGAAGTTGGTGAAAAATGTGCAGGTCAGATCACATTCGGGAGGGTTAAATAGGCTGAATCAATGAAAAGGACACGATCCAACAAATCTGAAACTTGCTTTGTATGATGAGTTGGATCAAGGTGGTTCAAGAAATGGGTCAATGTGCAACCTACAGCAGATAAGCCCTTGAAATCACAGTTTTCGTCCAAGCAAATAAGCTGAAAAGGAGGATCGAACAGCAGGGATACAGTTCCAATAGTGAATTTTTTACCAGGAGCTCACACTTTGGAACAAGCTTAGCTCGATACGTGGAAAAAGTTAGCACAATCATTTCGAACTTTTTTGCAGAATCAGTCGAAACAAGTCCACAAGATGACAACAAAAAACAGAAAGAGTGTTTTTCTTCCTATAAATTTCTGACTTTGAATAGATAGAGAATATCAGTTTCTCAGGAATATTGCTCTTTGTTTTCAAATTCCCAGCTACCCTTGCCTTCCTTTATACCTAATAATGAAGTAAAATTCTAACGGTATGCCGATAGTTGTGAAGAGTAAGCATATTTGTTCCAGCAATGGAGATCATTCAGCATGAAGTTAGCTCAATTCTTTGAATAATTTAACATTAGCTGTTATTTTGTATTTTTCAAAATTCAGTTGTAACAAGTCCAAAAGTTAGCAATAAAAAGAAGGAAGCTGTAGTTTTCTTCTTATAAATATCCGACCTTGAATGACAGAAATAATATGTATCAGTTTATCATGAACTTTGCTCTCTGTTCTCTATCAAATAACCCAACAAGGAGGCACCCTCAAACAACTACTCCCTCCGTTTCAATTTATGTGACACTTTTTGTTTATTGAGAGTCAATTTGACTAATATTTGAAGCAAAATTGGATAAGATTAACTCAATATATTAAAGGTAAAACTTAGATATAAAAAAACTATACAAAAAGTGTTGTAATTTGCTCTTCTTGTATCAATATGATGAAAAAATGTAATTTGAAATGTTGGTCAAAGTGCACATAGTTTGAATCTCGAAAAGCGAAAAGTGTCACATAAATTGAAACAAAGGGAGTATATGTTAGGCCACCTAATTAATTAGACTAATCTATTATGCATGTATATGATATATCCTACTCCAATTAATATCATAGCACCAACAATATTTGACTTGTCCTGATATTGCATATACTGTGAATCTTGTCTCTAGTTTGTTATGCATGGTTCTCATTGAACTTCTCTGCATGCGAGAAGTGTATTTCGACGTGCTTATAGGGAAAAGGAACCATCACCTTTGGTCTTTCCATAGTGCTTTCCCATCCAGTTTCTAGGTTGTCATTTATTCAGATGAAAACTGAGTCGGATATCCTATTAGTCAATGTTCTGGTACTGTGTTTTGCAGTGTTTCTGGGCTCCAATCTTATATCTTTGTGTCTGAAGAACAAGAAACAATTTCTAAATTCTCAGCAGAGGCGAAGTATAGGGTTGTTGCCTATAATGTAGCTGAGATATCTTGAATTTGTCATATTCTGTTTGAACTTGACCGAGTATAGGGCTGCTCCCGCTCATTTATTCTTTGCTGAGATTTGTATAGAAATGCTTATTTTGTTCTCATTTTATGTTTTTTATGACAGTTTATCTGTTGCATCTTCCTGTCCAAATTAAGATGGTGTATTAGGTCATTTGCACTATCCTATTATATATTCATGTGATGTATCCTACTACTACAATTTTTCCTAATCAAGCTTGTTGATAGATGGACATAAGCTCTGCAGATCACCGAGCCAATATGCAATCAGTTCAAAGATCTAGTAGAAAATGCATGTCTGTTTCCTCAAATCTAATTTGGGAACACGAAATCTCTAACCTTAGCTTTTTCATTTTGAAAATTAAATCTAACTCACCCAGAGCTGACTAGAACAACTTTAGACTTATCGATCAATCGACATTCAGAAGAAAATCGGGTCTTCTTGGTTCTTTTTCAACTCTCATTTCGTTAATTAAACAATAAATCGGTCATTATTTCGTAAACAAACTTTGAAAATTATTAGCCACACCACAGAAAATTAACTCATACTTAATCCTATCAAAATTTTCGAATTCCCTAGTGGAGTCAGCAACCTCAGATAGCAAAAGCTGACACTGAAGACCACTTTGGGTATAATTGCAGAAGATCCTAATAGTAACTTATCCTTTTTAAAAAACATTGAACCTTAAAAAGATTATCATTTTTATTTATCGCAGCGGAAGAAAAAACAGCCATAGATCAAGTGAGCAACCTGAACAAGCTTTCTCCATCCAACATACAACTATCAACATAGAAACTTTAAACACACATTCAGTGGAAATTGGCAAACCAAACGAAAACCCAGAATGTAAAATCCAAGAAAACCACAAACTTGAGAATTGAGAAGCCAAGTAGAAGTACCTTTTTGAGAAGGAGAGCAAGGCGTTTACTGTCGAGCTTCGACCCCGAAGCCATAGTAGCATCAAGATTATCTCTTGCACACCTAAAGGCATGATTTTGGAGAGAAAGAGGCATATCTGAGGCTCTCACTCGCACATTCAAATGCTCATGCTCCTGTTTCTCCTCAACTACTATTGCCTTCTTTTTCAGTATCAAACTGTTCAAGAACTTGCTCCTTCTCTCTAGCTCCTCCTCTGCTTTCTCCATTTTCCCTTTCACATCATCATTTCCAGCAGACAAATGGGTAGTGCTGCCTTTATCAAGAAAAGTAAAGAAAAAGAAGGACCCTGTGACTGTGTGTAGTGTTTTGGTTTCTGATATACTTTTTACTTTTTGGGGTTTTTATTTGGCTTTTTCTCAAGAGTTTTCGTATCTTTTAATGCGCCATTTGAGAGTAGATTGTAGACCAGGAACGTTAGGTACGGCATTGGAGAACAAAATTTAATACTATGTAGTTTTGTGACTATTGCTTTTTCCGGAACTTGCCTCCATTTTACTCAAGCTCCTACTATACTTGCCTCAATTATTTATAGGGGTATTTTCAAAACAGTACTTCAGGATTTTGCCTTACATGTCTGTTTATGTCGAGGATTTAGTTTGTATTTGGAAAGCCACCTGATTAGAAATTTGATTTGAGTGTAATTACGCACTGTGACTTGTTTTTCTAGTCAACTAATCTACTTGTTCCGTAATATGTGACACAATCACTATTTGGAGAGTCTAGTGTAACGACCCGCCCGATAGATTTGAAAATATTAGCCGCGATATCCTATCTATTGTTTCCTATGTTTCATTTTATGCTTATGTGACTTGCGGGGAGAGTTTATTTTTAGTTTTGGAGTGAAATGGGACACTTAGTGCCTAAAATGAAAGCTTAAGTTCTAGGAATTTGACCGTGGTTGGAATGGAGTTTCGTCGGTTTCGTTAGCTCCGTGGGTGATTTTGGGCTTGATAGTGCGTCCGGATTGTGAATTGGAGGTCTGTAGTTGAATTTGGCTTGAAATGGCGAAATTTGGATTTTTGGGAAGTTTGACCGGGAGTGGACTTTTTGATATCGGGGGTCCGATTTCGATTTTGAAAGTTGGAGTAGGTCTGTAATATCAAATGTGACTTGTGTACAAAATTTGGCTTCAAACGGACGTGTTTTAATAAGTTTCGGCATCAGTTGTAGAAGTTTGAAGTTTTAAAGTTCATTAAGCTTAAATTGGGATGCGATTCGTGTTTTGAGCGCTATTTGATGTGATTTGAAGGTTCGACTAAGTTCGTATCGTATTTGAGGACTTGTTGGTATATTTAATTGAGGTCCGAAGGGCCTCGTATGGATTTCGGGTGGCTAACGAACTATAATTGGACTTGTGAGAATTATTGAAGCATTACAGCTTCTGCGGTCATTACTGACAATTGTTTGCTTGTCTTGGAAAACTTTGCCTACTTCAATAACATTTGGGGCATGTTTTGTTATGATGATACTTTCATATTCCACAATTGCTGGAAATGTTGGCTGATCACGCCCAACTATGCCTTATAAAAAGGACTAAGCGATCGTTGCAAATATAATCCGGTTTACAAGTCCGGAGTCGAATCCCACAGAGAACTAAGGCTTAGCTATAGTTGTTCAATATCGCTAAGAAACACAAGTCCAAACAATTTTCTAATTATAAAGATTATAATGTTTATTTTTATCTAATTAACTAACAAATCTAGAAAGCCGTAAAACTATCAATTAACAAGGATAAGGATTGGAGTCAAGATTAAGGAGGTCTAGAGTTATGATTTCCCCAATTGTCGGAATCCTTCCTGCTACATTTTTTATAAATTCGCCTAAGTATTCTCTACTGATCATGAGCGCTCTGACTGTCGTAACTCTCTCCCGAGTAATTACCACAATTTACTAGACGCACTCTCCCGAGTTACGCTAGCTGGCTTTGTTTATTACAGCTCACTTTAGATTGCACCCAAGGCTTCGTTATCCCTAATCCCGCCTTTAAACCCGCAGTTATAGATCCCTCTTATACTTTGGGAGTGATGTTGTTCAACAACTACCTAAATATGCACTCTCTCCCGAGTTATGCACACTAAATAGGCACAACTAATTGAGGATCCTGTCAATTAACTACAACAAACACGTAGTTGAACAAATAGAGAAAATACTACGGCTCAATTATATAAAAATAACAAGAATTTATCCTACAAGCTCACTACAGCCTTGCGTTTTAAAGGTTTCACTCATTCTTTGAATGGTTATTCATTATTTTTCAAAAGGACAGGTTGTTCTATCTCTATTGTTGCGGTGTATGTAGACGACATTTTATTCACAGGTAATGATGAAGCTGAACTACATACATCAGGAATTCAAAATTAAGGATCTTGGTTTCTTACATTTTTTTCTTGGGATGGAAGTCATTCGAGAACCTGAAGGATTGATTTTATCCCAGCGGAAGTTCACTTTGGATCTCTTGCAGGAATTTTCGTCTTTGCACTTGACTCCTGCCTCCTCACCTCTTGATTCTTCTATCAAATTTCTAGCCAAAACAGGGGATCCTGTGCCGGATCCGACTCTATATCGTCATCTTCTGGGTAAGCTTAATTATCTTACCCACACCAGGCCTGATTTGTCTTTCACTGTCCAGCATCTCAGTCAATACATGCAAGACCCACGCCAACCACATCTCGATGCTGCTTATCGAGTCCTCCGTTATCTCTTAAAAGACCCAAGTCTTGGACTTTTTATGTCTGCCTCACCTTCATTCCAGCTTCTCGCCTTTTGTGACTCTGATTGGGGTACTTGCCCTGAAACTCGCCGGTCAGTCAGTGGCTTCTACATTTCGCTGGGTTCTTCCCCCATTTCTTGGAAGTCCAAGAAACAAACTTCCATTTCTCTTAGTTCTGCTGAGGCAGAATATCGTTCCATGAGACAGGTAGTAGCTGAACTCACTTGGTTGGTTCGTCTTTTTGAGGATCTCTCTATCCCCATTTCTTTACCTGTTCCTCTTCATTCTGATAGCCAAGCTGCACTTCACATCGCGAAGAACCCAGTCTTCCATGAACGCACCAAGCATGTCGAAATCGACTGCCACTTTGTGCGACAACAGTTTCTTGCTGGACTTATCTCTCTTTCCTTTGTTCGATCTAACTCTCAGCTTGCAGATCTCTTCACTAAACCCCTCACAGGTCCTCTCCATCGGAATCTATTGGGCAAGTTGGGTGTTCGTACCTCCCCCTCCAACTTGGGGGGGGGGGGGTGTTGATGTTACCCTAATTTCTGAGACAACTTAGAGAAGACGATGAAGTGTTCGATGATTCTAAGGATAGCCTTGCTTTGTTTTGTCCGAAAAACTTATGTTTTGATCTGCAAAGAAGATTTGGACTTGGGCCTCATTTCTACTGGGCCTTATTCTATTTGGGCTCATTACTGGACTACCGCTGAAAAACAACTAGAAGCCCAACTCTTCTAGAAGATAAGATATTGTAATTATTTTACCTTTTGTATTTATCTTCTTTTTAGTTATAGAGAATAAAAGTTAGTTATAGAGTAGTCAATTAGAGAATGCCATTTGGCTCTTCTGTTTTACCCTAGATTCTTTTTCCTTGTATTTATACATCATCCCTGTACAGCAAAATCAATTCAATCAATACAGAAAAGGAAATTTTCCAACGTTTATTTTTACATTCCTGCATTGTTCATCCACACCAAAAGATTGGTATTAGTACAAGTCTTACAAGTATTCAGTAAAGAAGATTATCATAGAAAGTGGAAAAGAATATAAAAGACAACAGGAAAAAGAAGAACAGTAAAGAAAATATTCATATTATACATCACTCGACAACCAATATTACATCTTGCAACTGATATCCTCCCCCAATAAGTAAAAGAAAAACGAAATAAAAGAGAGCAATATATCACACTGAACAAGTCAAAGGAAGTCATCCATTTATCGAGTCATTCCTCCTTGAACTACGGGAGCCATTCCGATTCCTTTGTTTTGGTTCTCCATATTTGCCTGCCAACCTGTATGTTGTAAAACAAGAACGATAAGTATCTCATCAATTTTAGATAAAAATAAGAAGATAGAGTAGTTGTTTGACTGAATGTGTTGTTTAAGAAAAAAAAAGGAAAATTGTTTTTGATACATACCAAAAGTATATTCTTAAAACATATAGTCTTAAACTTACCGTGATATTTTCTATGAATATATGAACAAGCTAAACCACTACATGTGAAGTGAGAAGTTTAAATTAAAAAAAAAAAAAAAAATTGAAATTTGATACAGTGTCATTCTTTTTTTAATAAGAAGATATAGTGGTTGTTTGACTCGCCGGCTACAAAGTATAAGAAAGAAATGAATCTATGGATATAAGATCATGTCACTAAAGAAACTAAAATACATTTCATCTTCTTGAAGAAAGTAAAAAGAAGAAAAAGTCAAATAAAATGAAATACAGAATTTGTTTTGGTGGAGGAATATTTACCAATAGACATGTCAAAGCCACGGTGTTTAAGCTCACGGTACTCTTGGCACAAAGCACACCATTCACAGCAGAAATGAAGCATACAGTCTCCACAACTGCCCTCTGGCAACATGTATTGTTTCCTCATCTTTGTGCGATAGAAGCATGAATATATGCATCCACACCCTGTGAATGCTTCTATTAGGCAATAAAGAGCTCCACTTGCCCCACAAGCTGCAACCAACACCATCACAATTAGTGGCGGAGTCAAAGTTTAATAACAGGAGTTGAAATATAAAAAGTAAATACACCATGAAGTTAAGAGAATTAGTGTATATTTTTTACTCCCTCCGTTTCATATTAGATAAGATACTTTCCTTTTTAGTCTGTTCCAAAACAAATGACACAATTCTAAATTTGATAATAATTCAACTTTAAACTTTTCATTTTACCCTTACAGATGGCATGGCTCCACCAACCTTTTACCCCTTAAGCTTTTAAGACCACAAGTTTCAAAAGTCTTCTTCTTTTTTCCAAACTCCGTGCCGAGTCAAACTACCTCAAATAATATGAAACGGAGGGAGTATCTATTTACGCAGGAAATTTTTTCAGTGAAGAGATGTCAATTGATTGACTGCCCATTGACAAGGATAGCTCCCCCACTAGACAGGAGAAGTTTTATTGTGTGTCTCATACAATTGACATTAGTTGTGTGAGGCTCCTTTTTGTTTCACAAATTGGTAGACCCCAATCTTACACTTCTGGATTCACAAAAACTTGGGTCCACAAAATTGTGAAATAAAACAGATGCCTCATACGACTAGTGTCAGTTGTATGAGATACAAAATAAAATTTTCCCACTAAACAGCATCATTTTTGTCAGAAAAACAAAAAGGAGAGCAGAAGAAGATATCATACTCAATTATTTATTCTTTTGGTTTATTTTTCTTCTATTTTTTTCTACTAACGTTTTCATTCTCTTTCGCATCATTCCCTAGAATTGGAGAGCTCTCTTCAATCGATTTTTGTTAATCCATGACATAGTAAGGTTAAATAAT